ACTAGTAATATTTAAAAATCATCAACTTTGTTCCGTTAGATTGAAATTTATTTACGTATCAGTCGTTTCTGCATGCATTGCATTGCTTTGACATTGAAGCCATACTAGTTGTGTACTGCCGTAGTATCTCCTTAAGCTTAAAACTCATCTGAAATTGGAATTTGGGATTCGCTAGTAAACGAACAAATGATTGGAATCACATATCGAATGAAAGCCAGATTAATGATGACAAAAATGAAGATATTATCCCTGTCAACGGTACTGAAGTATCTTGTGTATTGATTTTCATACTTCTTTGAGTCTTTCGTTCAGCTGCAGAGTGGTTGATATATGATCGCACAAAAATTCACTAATAATTACCAATCGTTTCAGTCATAGACGAGACTTAGTAAATGTTGACAATACTAGGAAAAGATCCAAAAATGAACGCCATCGTTCGTGCACGTAATGCACATAATATGTAAAACAAATTTTAAATTGTTTAAAACTTACATACTGATTGAGAACTCTCATACATAAGTCGTATTACATTTCATAGAGCAACAAATTAAAAATCTTTCGTGTCTCCGAATGTATATCGTATGTCTGTGTACTCATTAGAAAATCTGTATAAGTTTTTAGTTTTTAAATTTCATTAAACTGAGTGAACTAACCTCTAAAATGCTACGTTCATAGCTTTAGAAAGGATCATTAAAACTTCATCACAAATTCTAAGAGAATATTTCTTCTCTGCATATTTCATTGTCGTAGAAGCGTTCCTATCTATTAGTCTAATAAAAATAAAAAGTGAATTAAATGAAAAATAAGTAAAAAATACGTATCAGTCAGGCAAGGATGACCACTAGATACTTTACATCACTTTGTCTGAGACAATTCTTCATTTATTTTTGTCACACTTTCTATTGCAATCTTGATGTGAGATGGTTTCAAAAAAAGAGTAGAATTACCCAAGCAGCCCAAGTTTGCTGCGGTACATTTCTAAATCAAATTAAATTTGAAATTTTGATATTTTCACACGACAACTTTTTCAAAAGAAGACGTTCCATAGGTAGTGGTCGCAAATGGTTTATCAGACAAACGGAGATAAAAGCGTCAATGCAACTATATACTGCCTGACTGAAATCATTCTTGGGATTAGGCATGCAACGGCACCATCTTAAAATAGCCTGCAGTACAAATAATGTAAAAGCATTCGTTTGGGATTCCATCCTGATTATGTTGTGTTGACGGTTGACTGTATTCGTTCGTTTAATCAATGCGCCTTGAAGAGAAATGCTATCATTACAAGATAAAATGGTATCGTAATCCTATGAGTTTAGTGAAACATTGAAAATATCTCATTTTCCGATTAACATGCGGTGGGTGGAAAATTTCGTCTCAGCTTACAGTTACATTTTGAACTTGTAACTGTAACTGTATGGAATCCGCCAAATACGCTGCTGAAGATCACATACCATTTATAAAGTCCATGCAATCGCTGAAACCTATCTCTAAATTTAATAAACTTTTCCCTTATTGATATAGAAACGCATTACAGGTGAAATTGATTTGTCCTGACCGAGAGCAGAGTCATAGACAAGATATGTACATTAGCCAATGCTTGATAGCACATACATTATTAAGCTTATTGTGTTGGAAAATCTCTTTCTGTTAAGAACATCTTAAAATATTTGAGTACACCGGGACGTATGGGAAACCTAGCTGCCTGCGTATGGGAATGTAAGCTTAAGATGTCGAGAAATCTTTTTCTGCTGAAAATTAACATATTTGAATACACCAGAGCGTATGGGAAATCTAGCTGATTAGTTTGACTTATTCTAATGACGAGCTTTAAAGATTAGTGATTAATAGCGTTTTTCAGCCAGCAACAATTGCTTGTTCCTCAAACGAGGTAACATGACTTGGTTGGCTTCGAAATTTTTCGTGCCTTTGCGTAGGTAGGGGTGCACAAGGTTTGCGATGTTATTCGAAAGATCTATACTTCGAATGGATTCTTCTTGTGTTACATGGGAGTCGATAAATTTAATATTTCCTCTATTGGCATATGCAACAACGTCAAAGTGAATATCTATTATTTATCTCCGTATTTTTTTATATAGCTGTACGTGTGTAAAACCCTGTAGAATGCGCAAAATGTTTTTAAAGATTATGATCAAATAAATTCATGCTCTACCTGTTAAGAATGACGTTATTTCGTACGAAAATCTATGTTATGAAAGCAAATACATTGTTGGGAAAAAAAATATCGAAACTCATGTTATTTTTACAAATTTTTCGTCATAACATGCATTTGTATGCGAGAGCATGTTAACAAAATATTTATGTATACGTGTAAATAATATTAAAAATTTATTTATAACAAAACGGATATACAATAAAAATTGATCTGAATATAAGTGAAAAAAGGGGTTTTTTTTTTTGGTTTTTGTTTATTTGTTGTTCCTTGTCGGGTAGTTCGCCAAATGCGTTTCGCATAGAGTCTACAGCAATTGTGAAGTGGATTAATTGACATCCATGTTTAGTAAACACTACACTATGGAAATGACAAACATTACCTACCAACAAATCGTAACAGTGTCCGAAGTTTCAAGTCTCACTTGTTTTTATCGCACAGACAGACAGTGATGTGGTCAATTATTCAATGTCTGAAATTTAGTTATTTAGCCATAGTTATAAGGCTATCTATTCAACCCCTCTATGTCAACCACAATTATTTAATTAGGTTACTGCGTACTAGCACTTTTCCCTCCTATTTTTGAATATTAATTAATTCAATACGATAATCAAATATTTAACACCATATGCTATCTAACTCATGATAAAAACTTTGTTTGTCGTTTATCATATGCAATACACACTTCAGTATCATACCACACATCTAAGTCTGTGTAATGTGCAGCGATGCATTAATTGCATAACAAAATGTCATTATATCTGTCAACAAAAATTGATGGTTTATTGGCAATTAATACAAACTGCGAAAAAATATAATATAAATATTTTTATATATTTATGACGTCTTCAATTACAATGGAATTAAGTTTACACACACACACACAACTGCACTTCTCTGTGCATTGCCTATGCTTTTTGCGAATAGACGTAAAAGGTGAGAGTTACGCTTGTCAATCTATGATTTCTAACATGCAAAAGCAGGCACACGGATAAGATTCTTTGGCGATTGGTGCGAGGTTTGTGTTGGACTATACAATTTGTTAGTCGCAGATTAAGTTACAAAATATGCCTGATATGGCTGTAAATATGCTTAAAATAATTACAAAAATAAAAAGAGGAATATTATGTAACATAAATAATTTGAAATTTTGATTATGTACACACATATATCAACAGTTTTGTGAACCCAATCGCTTTCACTACTAACGGAGTCAAGTAGTTGCAGTATATCTTCGAAATTTTGGGAAATTTTACGAATTATTTATCTGAAGGAATTACTTTTGTAGAGTTGCCTTGCTAAGCGAACATGAAATGTGTACCTTGTTCTTTAAACTCGATGGAATCGAAGCCTAAACCTACAGCAACCTAAGTGACATTTCGAATAGTCACTTGCAACGTCGGAGAAACATCGGCAATCGCCTTTATGTACGCTTTTTGGGGTCGTCAATGGTTGCTTTGGTCTCTGAAGGCAGAATATTAAAATCAAAACAAATGAAATCTTTCGATGATGTATATCGCAGTAACTTCAATTCAGGTAATGATGTATGTAGAACTTTAGCTTTAACAATTAAATCCTCTCTGCATTCATCGTCTTTCCAATCTTGCATACAGTATCGAACAGTAAATAATTTACGCTTATTCCGTTTGCACCTCTGTTCGCGTACCTGTGTTTATGAAAAATACAGTGACGTGAAAGCTGCTACACAAACCGAAAAGATTGCGCAATCGTTTCACCAATAATTTATTCTCTAATTTTAATAATAATTTTAAACAGAGGGAGGATACGGCTACAACCTATATATCACCTGCACATCAATAATATCAGAATATAAATGAAATTTTCGTGCGCAAATTTATCCATTGATGATGTAGAAAAGTTGTATTGTTGGTTTGCCGTTTTTGTCAAAAGCATCCTTTTCAATGGCATGTAGAAGAGTGCTTACTAAATTCAGCAACCGATTTAAAGGATAAAGCAAATATTTGAAAAATAAAGTTGTAATGCGGAGAAATATTTATGACGCAAATAAAAAGCAAACAAATTGACAAAGCCATCATCAAATGAAAATACGAGTATGTTACTTTCCAGGTGTTTTGTTTTTTTTTTTTTTTGGCGTTTCGTTAAAAAAAGAAATATACATATAAAACGAAATCTTAATTAGATAGAGGACACAAAGATCAAAGTAAGTGTACAAATCTGTTGGTAAACGCATTAAAAGGGAAAAATAAAAATTTCCAAACTATGATAAAATGAAATAAACGTTGATGTATGAACTGATAGGCATGGCATGTAGTTATGATATCAATTTATGTATGTATGTATGCATGTTTGTGCGTATTTTCTGTTTCAATTTGAGCTTCTTTTTTTTTTCTTTCTTTTTTAATTTGTATATATTTAGTGGAATAAGCAATATTGCTCAACAAGCGCGATTTACCTATGTCGTACTTAAACTGATTTAACCTTAGATTTTGTCATTATGAGTCGAAAATTAATTTGTTGTTAACAATTATCGGTTGCCAAGCTTATGCATGTTTGCGATGGCTTAGGGGTTCACTTGCAATTTGGTCCTGTATCGGTTGTGGGCGTGGCTCTATGCTAATTGTGTACATGCTTTTTTGTTTTTTCTTTCTTTTTTTTTTCCTCCTTATTTGTTTTATTGTACTTATACTAAGTTTTATTATTAAATAATTTTAAAATTTACTTAAGAGTCAATTGAACTCGACTGCCATTTTGTTTTAGTTGAGTTTCTTGTATAAGTGGAATAAATAAATAAATAAAATAAAAAAATACCATGAGAGTCATGAGAGAGGAAAAAGTGTGCACTTACCGAATATGCGCCCGGCGAGACTGTACGGTGTTGTGACTAATATTATAAAACCAGCCATGAAGCCATAAATGATCAAACCTATATGAGTTTTGTATTTGGCCGATATACGTAGTGCCATTTTTATTTATTTATTTATGTTTTTTTAGTTACGAATCTTTAACACACCCACCCATGCAATTATTATTACTTTTTTTATTAAAACTTTTTTTTTTGAATTTTTTTGAGCCGAACAAATTTTTTCTATTTTATGCACAATTTGTTATCCTTTTTTTTATACTTTTTCTATTAGTTGTATTCATTCATATGAACAGATGATCTTTCGGGGATACGTAAAACGGCGCGAGAATGTTTACATTATATATTTTTCTTTTTTAGTTGTATTTCGGTGGTATTTGGGTTTCGCGAAATTTGTTTCTATTGTTCGAGTTTTGCGAGTTATTTTATTTATTTGTTATTATTTTTTCTTTACTTATCTATTTATATTCTGGCGGTGAGTGTGGTGGCGTTGATAAGTATTCTCTTTTAATGTATTTTTATTTTTTTTAATTTTTAAATGCTTTGTTGTTGGTTTTTCCTTTGAAAATTGTGTTCCATAGTCTAACACGAGATAGATTTGAATTTGTTATTCAACAATTTTACTATCTTTGTGTTTGTACTTTCATTGTTAATCTTTTTGTGTACGTCGTTATTGCTGGTAGTGCTGGCGAATATTTTTTGTCGCGAAAATTCATGATTTGATTTATTTTTACTTTCAACCATACATTTCTGTCTCGTTGTAATAACAAGCGTATGAAAAATTGTTCATTTTTTTTCGCACAGCCAATGATCTCCATCATATTTTCCATATTGCTGCATTGAGTTTACAATCAACAACAATCTGAAAGAATAAACATAAAACGAAAAATAAAATATTATTAAATTCATTTAATAATTTAATGATTTTTTGATTGTTATTTGTATTGAATTTTGGTTCGGAAACCTTTTAAAAGTCCCCCCGGAATATTGCAATAATTTTACAGCAAATGTTGAACAATTGAATTAAACGAGTCAATAGGATGTCTGACTACCTTCATGTGAATGAATACCGAGGATCATCTGCTCAGGATAACAATTACTGCCAAGTGTGGCGATCGCTTTAATAGTTGATATTAAATTAATTTATTACTTGTGCTTCATTCTAATTTTTGATGGGAAATGGGAAAAGTCTCTGCTAATTACTGTTCATTGAAAAGATAGATGCAGTTCTGTTGAGGTGCGCCATGAACTCGTTTGAACACATGTTCGCCTAAAACAAAAATTTGATTGATCCTTTTGCATATGAGAAGTTGTAGAGAGTCTTGTTTCTGATCTTGTCTTGTCATTGCACAGAGAGTCCCATGTCTTTTTTTCTCTTTCTCGTAGCATAACACCACTAACTTAATCTAAGGGGGAAAAGACGGTGAACACCGTATAGGAAGATTTGACGTGGCTTCAATAATTGGACTTATAACCACATTGTATGCATACAATCTGTGCAGATCTCATGACGTATTAGAGCCCAAAAGGTTGATACTATAACTAAAACATATGTTTAGCTTAAGTTTTATTCATTCTTGGAATGACATCATAAAATATTTATTTTTATATTCATTACAACGGAAACAGACCCAAATCTCGTCGGTTTCTTTGCAATAATTAGACTAATGAAGCATTCCTATTCCTTATCCGTCAAGGTTTTCATCTCATCTAATGAAGCTTATCTATCGATTATAGAATATTTTGGAGAATATTTTGGAGAGAGCTAAAGGAAGACCGTTATACTTTTGGAGAGCATAGACAAGTAAATGGGTAGGTAAAGTAACTTTCGAGAACAAGTTTATCTACATTTTCCCCGCCATCTTACAAATTTTATGTATGTATAAATGAACTCAAGTGTACACGGTTCACAAAAACTCAATTCAAAAATGGCTTCAATCGAGCCAAGCAGTAAAACGTTTACATGACGATAGATAGGGAAGTTATCTTCCTTGTGTACGTATTGAAATCTTCATTTTACGTTTCCTGGAAAACTAATACGAATATGCATAATCCACAAAAAAATATTGTAACAAAATTTGAATGGAGAAAACAGCTTACTTTGGTTTTGTAATTGCAAGTCTTTTGCAATTCTATAATCCTATGACGACATGACTTTTCCATTTGAGTTAATGCAGTGAATGCACATACATATGACTACATATTGTGCACATGCGGTATGTACACTTAGAAATTATATCCGATATTGAATTTTTAATATAAATCTTTGATTCGATAGCATAAAATAACTGACGGCTTCAACGTGAAACAAAAATTAAGTTGAAATGTAGCCGTAATTAGTAAACAATCGCTAACGGAATACGTTCAAAATTTTTTAAAGTGTATATAAGTTAATGCGAAGGATTGTGTATGTGTGTGCACAAACGAGATTTTTAACATTATCTTCTTGTAATATCCTTATTTACATTTGTTGGATCGTTTCAGACGTTGTTATACATAAGCACCTAAACGATTTCATTCATAATATTGCAAATTTCCGCATTCCGATGCAACTTGAAATTTATTCAAAACTTTATTTATTTTCCAGTTTTTATTCAATTTTTTGTTGCTTTAGCTTACGCCGTCATGCGTTGCATGACTTGCAAAGAAGAAAAGCTCGCAAGAAGCCTTAAATGCAAGACTCAAAGTTTAATTTCTTGAGATACGTACTTCTATTAAATAAAAATAGTTGCTTTTTATATATAGAATTAACGAATTTTGTTTAATTTAATCAAAAAGGAAAACCAAAACTCATTCATTGCGAGCGGGGAAATGTGCATGAAATTAAATTCGGGAGAATTTTGCTGCCGAAATTTATTTCCCGCAATCACCTTCGTTCAGAATTAGATTTCAATCTATTAGTATATGTGTGCTTTCGCGAGTTTCATGTTCGGACTAATTTTCTTTTTTAATCGCTTTTTTTTTTATAATTAAATTTGATTTTTTGCAGATGAAGAACTACTCGATGAAATAATCAAATGTGAACGACTACGTCACTTGAAATGAAAATGAATGATGGTCTTAAAAGAGTAATCATTTCATATAAAAAAAAAAAAAAATTAAATCAAGTAGAACGAAAAAAAGAGTTGTACCCGGTCCAGTATGAATTTTCCAACTCTCCAACTGATAGCGCATTTTTCCCGACATTATAAAAAATATAAAATAATTGAAGGGATATAAATATTAAACATTGCAGATGCTTCAATAATTGCTCAACAGATTTATAAGAGCTCTGTAAATGTACCCTGTTACGTAAAAGTGAATAGCGTTGAACAAGCGACGTAGACGCTTTGGGCGCATCAGATCGCCACATCTGCAATTATCAAATCTTACTTGGTGGTAAGCGGATACAGAAGCGGCTTAAAATAAATGTTTTTGGACTGCAAGAGATGCAGTCGAAAAGAAAGAATATAAGACAAAACTTTTCAATTTTTGGCATCCGTCAAAGAACGGCTTGCTCTTATTAATGCGGAGGATAACTCTTGTGGAGAAATACCGTTTTAAACTTATCGTAATGCAACTCTTGCTTGCTTTTAATATTAATGATATTTTCCTTAACGTTTCTAACCCACATTTTCATCTCTATAATTCAACTTTTTTTTTTCAAAGTATGATAATTAAAATGTTTTCTCATTTTTTTGTTGTTTGATATACTTTTTTCGCTTTGCATAAATAGCAAGTTTTTAATTTTTCGCCATTTTCCTTTTCTCCCTAGATATGGAATTGTTATTCTACATAATACCATCATCAAAATATTCTAATTTAAACTGAAATTAATGCGAATTAGCGTTTAATTTTAATGCATCACATTATTAAAATACTTAGAATATATTATCAACACATGCACAGGAACGACAAACACCCAATTATACGGAAGCAGGAATACTCCTGAAAATATGAATTTGCGTTTGTATGCTAAAAGCACAAACATTTGTATATCTTTCTGAGCGTACATATATGTGTGTGTGTGTGTATAAGTTTTAGTACGGTACATCCAGAGTTTTATTTAGTTTCTTTTCATTTCACTTTTAAACGGTAAGCTCTATAAATGCTTGCATGAATTGCATGATTTCGTACGTACGTTAAGTGAAGACGTACAAAGCTACTTAACGCCAGACGTATGAAAGCATATGAGTTCTTACTCTTTAAGAGTTTTTCACATTTAACATATGAATACATATGAATAACTGCTCTCCTAATAGGTGAAATTATGTTAAATACGAGTTCTCGGAATGTATTTTCTCATATTCATACATTTATTCAGCTTAGTTTTAGATTTAAAGGTTTAGCAATGCGTTAAAGTAGAATAGCAAAACAGTTACTTTCAAAAGTAATGTTTTATTAAATATGCACGTGTCGGTCGATAAGTTGATTGGGAAAGAAAGAAGTAATTCTTTTGTTCTTTTGTTTGTTAAGCGAGGAAAAGGAGGCAAATATCATCGTGTCACATGCGATACGATGGGTACCCGAAACAAGTTCCCATCGATTGCAATTCACCACAGATGACAACCAATCGCATGAGGTTAGTAAGAGGCACTTGAAAACACATGTCCACTTGATTTTTCAAAAAATCGGAATATACTAGATCTTCGGCTCCGCAGAAGCGTAGATCGATCAACTCTTGCTACTGCATACCGGCCTGACAATCGACAACGCTTAGCGAATTAAGAGAAAAAGAAAGGCGGAATGTCAAGTCATTCTCCGTGATTCAAAGCAAGCTGCGCGGCAGACGTATTTTATTTACTGTTGGAAAGATTGGTATCCACGTGCGAGAAACCAACCTGTAAAACACACCCACGAATTTCAAAGAGAAAATTGGCTCCTAATGCATCCGAAATTACGTCAATCATAGTAGAGGAAATCCTATCAAAACTGACGCGGAAACAATGTTAAAGTTTTAAGTTTTTTATTTACGCAACTGGTTGTTAATAGCATATATATGTAGAATACTCAAGAGACGAGAAAATCGTAATTGTCCCCGAAACAATAATGCGACGGACAAGCATTTGATCATTTGGTGGCATTTATCCATCTATTATTTGCCTTATATTTGTCAGAGAATCGTCGTTTACATGGAGTTCTCGACTTTAGACAAAAGTAATAAAAATGAAGACAATTTCTCATTTTTTTTTCCCCCCCTAAAGTGGAAAAGGGAAAAGTTGAAAGTCAGTGGTGTGTGTTACGTACGTTGGACTGCAAAAAAATAAAAGCATTTTGAAAAACTTAAATCACTTGATATATGTGGGTAAACAAGTTTAACTGTTTAGATACATACACAGAATGTCTTTTTTTTTTGCTTTTTTATAAATACTTGGAAATCTAAATACTGCCGTATGTACTTTGTTTCATAAATAAAACTATAAAAGTATGGAAAAGTGTATGCATGTGTGTATAAGAGATACACTTACAATTATAACAGTGTTGGCGGTGAGTGTTGAAAACAAGAGTTTCCACTTAAAACAGCCGGAAATTACACACAACCAACTACATTGTTATAATTGTATGAGTGCGTATAAGTATGCATTTTTTTCATTTTTTTTTTTTTCACTTATTTTTTTTTTAAACGGTAACTTTCGCAAAAACATAAATTGTGTGCGCATTTATACGTAAACACGAAATAAGTTAAGTGCACGAATATGAAAGTAAAAGAAGCTTAAACCTCTTTATGCCCTTTGTAGTATTTAAGAGTTAAATATTATTTTTTATTATCACATGTGTGAGGCGGAGCGAAACCCTCTAAATTAAGTTGGAATTTCACAATTTACTCGGTTAATATTAATTTTAAAAGCAGGCTTTCTTCGTTCTTCAAGTTTCCTTCTGAAG